TATATGTATATATAGATAGATATAGATTATTGTCTCACTTTATATATGAACAACTATAAACCTACTTTTGCCCCACCCTGCATTGCACTGTGCTGACCACCATGGAACAGCCTTAGCTAACACCTCCATCATGTCACATAATCACCATATTTCTTTTTTGTAGTGAGAACATTTAAGATCTATTCTCTTAGCAACCTTCAAGTAAATAACAACATGGCGATGCTGTACATCAGTCCCCAGAACTTGTTCATGTTTTCTTAAATTTATTGAATTTATATAGATTTCAGGTGTACAATTCTATAAGACAACATCTGAATGTTGTGTGTTTGCCGCCCCAAGTCAAGTCTCCTTCCATTTATCCCCCCTTTACCCTCTTCTACCTGGAAGCTTGTGCCCTTTGACCAGCATCTCCCCATTCTCACTCCTCTTCCAATCTAAAGTTCTCCTGGTTTCTTTGCCTGTTTACTTATTTACTCATTGGATCTGTTTTTTAATTGTTGCTGGGTTTTTGCTTTTCTGTCACTAAATGAGGATTAGAAATGAATATTGTGTCTATGAGTTTATGGAGAAAAAACCACTTTAGACCTGTCTTCTGAACATGATTTAAGCTTTGTTCAAAGTATTGTGTTCAATGTCAGGGACAGAGGCCTTCACAGAAAACAATTTCCCAAAAATATTTCTGATGGCCATAAACCACTATCTCAAGCTGCTGCATCAGCACAAAGCTAGGGAAGTAAACACAATTTATGAAACCCAAGTTACGCTAATGCCAAATAATGCCACAGGATATGCAGTAGGAGAAAAAACACTAGGAAATAAAGTGAATGAGTACTGTTTACTATGTTCTGGGGCAAGATACTCCACTTACTAGTTTTCTTTCCCTTTGCATGTGGAGAAAGAAGACAGAGAGCTCAGACAGCAGGAATTTAAAAGGCAAACTAGTACACTTTAAGGGTGTCAACTTTATAGTACCTAAATCATATCTCAATAAAATGATTGTAAAAGAAGTGAAACTAAAGCATCCCCCTGAAAAAGTATAAAAGGCTGAGACAGACACAAGGTAAGAGTCTACCTACCCATGGGTGGCTGGGCTAGAATATTAGTTTTGCAAAGAAAACAGGGGTTCAATCCCATGTTATCAATGGATAGACCACTGGAGAGGCATTTTAACATCAAGCTGTCTTTCAGGGTAAGTTGATTTTAAAAGGTTAGGAATTAGTGCCCTAGCCTGTGTGGCTCAGTTGGTTGAGATCATCCCATGCACCAAGAGGTTGCAGGTTCAATTCCCGGTCAGGGCACATGGTAGGGATTGCAGGATCAATCCCCAGTAAGGGGCGTGCAGGAGGCAGCCGATCAATTTTTCTCTCTCTCTCTCTCTTTCAAAAAAAAAAATCAATAAAAACATATTTAAAAAAATAAATTAAAAGGTTAAGAATAAGACAGATATTAAACTATACCTTGAGAGTTTTATTTCTTTAAATATATTGTTCTCAAATTATGTAAAAAAATAAATGTGATATAATGATTTAGGAAACATTAACATGAGACAATACTATGCAGCTCCTAGAAAGTAAATGTACTGATATTCTATAAAAGCACACAAAACCTCTGATATGTTTTAAAGTGGAAAAGAATACAAAATAGCATTGTAAACCAAGGCTACGCATAGGGAAACCATGTAGCCAAAGACTAGAAATTAAAAAGTTAAAATGAAGAGAAGTGAAGTGTGCCCAGCACAAAGTAAAATGTCCTCTCTTTTCACACTTTTAATACTATTTGTAGCTCTTTTCTTAACTTGTCAAAACATTGGTTGCTCAATGTTAATGATTTAAATATTCCGATGAGGAGTAGGGTAAGGCTGTTACATTGCGAGATCATGTGCAGTCTGCCCTCTGGAAATTCTAGTAAAATGAACTGTAACTTTTGGCTGGGGCCAATGCCAGTTTCCGAGAGGCTAACAGCGCTTTCGGTTAGAATATATAAAAGTAAAGACATGTGGTCACAATAAACCAGTGGCCAAAGAATGCACGAGGTCTGCTCTTTGTCATATTGTCAGGAAGGCGACCTACCACCTCCCCCTCCCCCACGTTTCTTGCTGCCACTCTCAGAGTTCAACAGATGTTGAGTACTTCACAAAAATCCAAACCTAAGCTCTGGTTGGGTAGCTCAGTTGGTTAGA